GTGGGACTCATTTTTCAAAAATGTTTGAGAAGCTAAATGTGAGCCAAGGGTTTCCCCAGGCCCAGCAGGGCAGCAGAGGGAGGTAGGGAAGAAATAGGATGATAATAATTACTAACATCTTCATAATAATGACACTTGGTCACCTCGATAGAGGACTCTGTTCTTTTCCAAAGCGTTTCGTCTCTTTCATCTCATCATGGGGTCTCCCTCATCCAGGATACAGGAAGCATAAAGCATTATCTCCATTTTACAGAAGGGGAACTGAGGCCCAGTCAGGTGGGGTAGTTGTCTCATAGCCATACAGACAGCCAAGGACAGGGCTGGAATGAGAATTTGTCTTCAACCCCTGACCTCCACTCCACCTGGCACCACCTTCTCCCTGAGCAGCTTGGGGTTCTGGGGCCCATGTTTGGGCCTCAGTTGGATTTCATGAACAGCAAGGGTTAAAGGGAGAAGAGAAAGCGTTCTGACATGGGAGCCAGAGCATGGATTCTAGTTCTGGACCCAGGATAAACAATGTCAGAGCCACCCAGATAAACTAGAAATGAAGGGTGGGCAAGCCCCCGCCCTCCTGAATCTGGTGCCCAGGAGTCTCCCACTCAGGGGCAAAGACACAGCCCCAGAGATCTTCTGACCATGTAGAGAGAAGAGAAAGGAATAAACTCTTATTGAGCACTTACTAAATGCTTGGCTTTACCAGCCTCTTAAATCCATCATCTCTAACTCCCATAGCATCTCTGAGAGGCAGAGTGTAACCCTCTAACTTATCGATGAGGAAAAAGGCCAAACAAGGGAAAGACTTGATTGAGGGCACAGAGCGAGGAAGTGGTGGGATTTGAACCCAGGACCCTCTGATGCCAAAGCCCCACGTCTCCACGAAGCTGCAAGGGGCATCTCTCTGTAGGAGTGTCCACCTTCTCATGCTGATTTGGCGCCTTGTGTCATCCTTGCTGCTTCCTTTTGTGTGTCAGTCTCAGTGCAGGCACAGTGAGTCCAGGAGGGTGACATGCTGGCTACAGAGATGTGGGCTGGAATCTTTTCCTACCCCTTACTAATGACTTAACCTGGGGAAAGGGTCTGAGTCTCTCTGTGACTCTGTTTCCTCATCAGTTCAATCAGGGGTTGCATCTCGGGCATCAGTTCTCAGTCTGGAATGCACTTTAGAATCACTGTTGGAGCTTTTAAAATACCCTTGCCTGTGCTCCACCCCCAAGGGAGTGCTATTAAATTAATCTGGGTTGGGGCTCAACATCAGTTCTATTTTAAAGCTCCTAAGAGTTCTAATGTGCAGCCAGGTTGAGAACCACTGGTTTCTGTGCTTTCCAAGGAGCAGCCTTTCCATATCCAACATTCTACATGGAGCCCTGGAGTTCTGATATCCTGTTTACGCAAGAATCCTTTGGGCAATCCTTCCTACGACAGTCTGGAATTAGGCCCTTAACCTCAAATAGCAGAAGGTCTGGGAGCAGCACCACGGACAGCAAATGGCTCATTCCAGCCAATCCCAGCCCTGCTTCTGAAAGTCTGGGCTTGAACTAAATACCAGGGAGGGAGAATCCTGAATCCAGTTCCTTGCTCTCTTCCTGCTCTTCCTTTCTGTCCTTTCTTCGACTCTTCTCTCACTTGCCTGTCTACTTCTACTTCTATTGATCCCCAACCTACTACCTTGTAAGGCAAGATACGTGCGTGTTTTGACATCAGATCGACCTGGGTTTGAATCTTGCCTCTCCTATTTCCTTGATGGATGAATTTAGCCAGGCACTGTCCCAGCTGTTGAGCAAGGAAATCTATTTGAGTTCTCACAATGGTCCTGAGTACCCCCATTTCACAGATGATGAAATTGAGACAAAAGGGGGTCTTTATTAAACTTTACTCAGCCTCCATTTCCTTACCTGCAAAGTAGAAATCTTAATAGAGCTTACTTCAAGACTCTATTATATGAATTCCATAAGATACTATGCATAAAGGGCTTATAACATGTAGTGCAAGGTAGTTATTTAATAAACAATCTATCATTATCATTGAAGACATTTGTGTAATAATGGGTTTCATTATTATTCATTATTAATTTACATTGTCATCCTTCACTGTGCATAACAGTTTCCTCGTCTGTAAAATGGAAATGATGCAGGAGTATACTGAAGTTGGCTTGTATCAGCTCATGAGAGCCAAATATTGATTTTCAGGAGTTTCATAAGCCACTTGATATCACATTGGTAGTTTGAAATTGGCCATGGTGAGAGTATTTACACCGTAGAAATCAGCAAACACTACGAAACAGGGCATTTATCCCCACCCCTCCGTCCCCCAGATCCAATGGTTAAACATTTGCCAGCATGTCACTGCATCTACCTCATCGAGTTGGCATGAGGACTGAAGGAGAGAAGAGCCATGATGGTGCATTGTAAAATGCAATCTGCTAAACTTAGGGGGATGGTACAAAGTGCTCCTACAGCATCCACAAGCCTGCCACCCATTTTTCTGCTGATTCTGGGGAGCTGCTGACTTGTGAAGGAGGTGGGAGGGAGTGTGGGGCCTGGGGAACCAGGGTTGAATCACTGACCCTTCACCATCCCCATGCATCCGCATTAACTGTAATGGCTGCAATAAAGAACCCCAGATTGGGGAAATGATTCCATCATCCCTGCGGGAGTCCCTGGGATACATCCAGGAGGAGAGAGAGAGAGCTCAGCCATGTCCCTGGAGCGTCACTCAAGCCAGCATTGTGTCTTGCCCAGGGGGTGGGGGCAACATGCAGAGGAGAGTGACAGGGAGATCCTCTCTCCTAACAGTTACAGCAGCCACTATTTATCGAGCGCCCACCATGAGCCTGATGCTGTGTGTATCGTCTCTCATTTCAGTCTGTCTGTGAGGGAGGCTTGATTGTGCCATTGTATACAGGCATGCAGTGCCTCCTGAGAAGACAACAACAACCTGCACTTACGGAGTTCTTAACGTGGGGTAGGCACTGTCCTTGGTGCTGAATACGGAAATCTATTTGAATTCTGAAATCGATCCCAGGAGTCTGGTGGTACTGTCACCCTCATTTCACAAAGGAGGAAATTGAGGCAAAAGCGGGGTTCATGACGGGCCCAAGGTCAAACCGCTAAGAAGGCAGAGTCCCTGGCTGTGAGTCAGTACCCCAGGCCACCATCCAGGGTCACCATGCGTGTCTGTGCTGACTCTGGCTGCCAGAGGACTCTGACCTTAGAGAGTCCTGGGTTCAAGTCCCACCACTTCATCATGCTGTGCCCCCATTCAGGTCTTTCCCCCTGTTTCCCCCACCTGTAATTTAGAGAGGTCCACTCTGCCTCTCAGAGATACTATGAGAATTAGAGATAATGGATTTAAGTGGCTGGTGAAGCTAGGCATGCAGTGAGTGCTCAGTAGGGTCTATTACTCTCTCTTCTCCCTGTTTAAGAGGAGGGGCCTGGGCTCATGCCCTGGCCCTGAATAGAAGACCCCTGGTTACCTAGCATCAAGAGGGAGGGGGCTTGCCCAAACCTCTTCCTCCCAGCTTCTCCAGGCAACTCTGACATGGTTGATGTGGAGCTGGAGCCGCCAAAAGAGAGAGGCGCATTGCAGGGCCGGTTTAGGAGGCTGGGAGGGGGGGACACGGAGAGGGAAATGAGAAATGCAAAAGAGTGAAAAATAAATACATGTGTCTGTCTGGAATGATCGAGGGCCCCAGGCTGGAGGAGGAAGAGGCGGGCGGCAGTCTGGGCTCAGCAGAACTGCTGCAGTAGCACTCCCAGAGCCTCACTCATTAGCCAGGCAGTGAACTGGCTGTACCCCCTAGCATGTCACCTCGCTGGCCCAGAGAGCCCAGCCCACCAGGAGGGTTCTATCTGGAACCTTAGCAGGGCACCCAGAAGGGGGCATCTCCTTGAAGTGATGCCTGAGTCTCTTCCCCCTTGGGTCCCATCCCGAGCCTTCATGACTCCCTCTTGGGTCTTATCCCCTCCTCTCTGGAAAGCTTCTGATGGACCACTCAGCTTAGCCCGTCCCTCCATCCAACCCCTTCCCCACCCCTTCCATCATCCGCACCCTGTCCAGCCTCACGTCCCAAGCTCTGCTTTTGTCAAATTGAACATGATGTCAAATTAGAGCCATCTCTGGGACAGGCCGAGAGAAGCTCCCAGTTTAATGAGGCAGCGTCGAAAATCAATAACTTAATTGCCGCTGTTTGATGGACTTTTATCCAATTTATACTCTCCCCAGCAGCCTACGTGCGGAGCATGAGGAGAAGTGTGTGCGCTGGGGCTGGGGGCTGTCTGGGCACCCGGGGGGAGGGGCGAGGAGGACACCAAGGACCACAGCCAACTACTTCCCAAAGCAAGAGCTGGGTGCTGCTGTTCTGCCTGGGGCCAAGAGACACTGGCTGCTGAGTCTCAGTGAACTTGGTTGTCCTGCATTGACCTCCGCACACACTCCCTCCATGGTGGGGATGGGAGTATGGAGGATGGGAGGAAGAAGGCAGAATTTCCTTGAGAAATCAGGATGGGTTGGGATGGGTAGAAAGACCCCTGCTTTGGGAGTAAAGTGCGTGGTTTCCAGTCTCAGCTCTAACTCTGAAAGTAATGACCTTAACTGGTGAAATTAACCATTTCCACCACCACTGAGAGACGGCTCTGAGCCCATTCACTGTAGATTGGGAGTTTAAAATGTGTTCCATCATGAACAAGAACTAGGATTGTCCCCATTTTGCTGGTGAGGAAACTGAGATTCAGAGAGGCTCTCTTCTCGCGCCAGAGTCCTGCGGCTGGGAAAGGGGTTTTGAATCCAGATCTGGCTCCATGGTCCTGCTCATGCTGCTGGGAAGGCCCCCAGATCTGGAAGCGGGTTGGGGCTTAATGTGGACAAGGGGACTGTGAAAGGACTGGCTTCAGTGACCTCCAGCCTCAGTCTCCTTTCCCAGCTTCTCGTGGGTGGGGAGAGATGGAGAGGACGAGCACAGCGGCGCCAGCTGACCTCTGTCTCGCTTGGTCCCCCGGGCCCAGGCACATCGGTGATGCAGGTGATGGCCTCGGATGCGGATGACCCCACGTATGGCAGCAGCGCTCGACTGGTGTACAGCGTGCTGGATGGCGAGCATCACTTCACTGTGGACCCCAAGACCGGTGAGGGGCGGGGCCAGCCCAAAGGGGCGGGGCCGGGGCGGGGCTGGAGGCGTGGCATAAGGGGCGGGACCAGAGAGGCGGGCGGACCTCCGCTCTCAGCCGTCCTACCAACAGCGCTGAGGTTGGGACAGGATACCGAAGCATCTCGTCGGATCCAGGAGACCCCAGGGTCTCGGAGAGGAAGGGCGGCCAGGCAGGAAGAGAGGACAAAGCAGGAGGGGGGGAAAATGGAGTGGGGGGGCACCTGCAAGACTGGCACGGAAACCAAAAGGCGGGAGGCAACCACTATAGGCCTCCTGAAAGGACGCCAGAGATCTGAACTCAGTGGCCCCCCACTTTGGCCTGAGAACTAAACTGGAGCAGACGCATCTACAGTCCGTATGAGTCGGCCATGGTCATAAGTGTAGCTGGGGGCCGTCAGGTAGCAGGGGGCGCCAGTGGGCCTGTACAGGGCACATTTTTGGCAGTTGTGAAACCTCTGTTCAGGTGACAGTTGTTAAGGATCTGATGGAAAGACAGAAGCCAAGACCGTTAGGGAAGGTCTTGGCTTACTGCTTTCCCCACCACCACCAAGCAATGGTGCGGCACACCTCCCCACTGCCCACTGCTTCACTCGCTCCGAGGCTGGAACCTGAGTCCATCCCCGGGTGGGGGATGTACTCCGGTGGCTTGCCGGAGGTGCACAGAGGACAGAAGGAGGAGGCTCAGAGAGGTGAACTGGTTCACTCGAGGTGCCACAGCTGGCTGCGGCTGCCGATGCCAAGAGCAGTGCTCTCACTGGTCCTGGGACTGAAGGAGGCAGGGGTTGCGACATCAGACACCACCAAATGTTTATTGAAAGTCAACATGGAGCTCCTAGTCCAGTGGCGGCAGGGGGACAGGCGTCTGCGTGGGCAATGAGGATGCCAGTTTCTCTGAGGCAGTGGTAGCAATCTCCAAAGGATAAAGTGCTGGCCAGACCGAGATGCAAAGAAGGGCATTCCAGGCAGAGGGCATGGTGCAGGCAAAACTGGGAGGAAGAGAACAGCCTGAGGCATAAGGGGAATTGTAAACAACTCAGAACTGGGGAAGAGGCTTGTGGAGAGGTGACCTGGAGAGGCTGGCTGGGGCCTGGCTGCATCACATGCAAGGCAAGCAAAGCGCTTGGATTTTATTCTAAGGGCAGTGGGGTGGGAGGGTGTTTGATAGATTTGAGATTGGGATATTGTATGTGTGTGAGTTTGTTTTGTTTAGGGGGAGGGTTCCAGTCTATAATCACATGCTCTTACACATAATATCTGCATTACTTTTTCTCCTTGCAAAACTAATACATTTTAGAAAACATTCAAACATGAAAGAAATGTTTTTAAAAAGAGAGGAAGGAAGAGCAGTCTCACCCTCAGAAGTTGCCACCCCAAAGGGAGCCACGTGGTGTACATATCGTATGAGACCTTGAACTCATTCACTTGAAAAATATTGTTAAAAAAAATTTTTTTAATAGATAATACATTTCAAGATTCAAAAAGCCCAAATTTGGGAGCTTCCCTGGTGGCTCAGAGGTAAAGAATCTGCCTGCCAGTGCAAGAGACACAGGTTTGATCCCTGGTCTGGGAGGAGCCCACATGCCATGGAGCAACTAAGCCCATGCACCACAACCCACAACTACTGAGCCCGTGAGCCTAGAGCCCATGCTCTGCAACAACAGAAGCCACAGCAATGAGAAGCCCACATCCCACTAGAGAGTAGCCCCCACTTACCACAACTAGAGAAAGCCCACACACAGCAACGAAGACCCAGCACAGCTCCAAAAAAAGTCAAAATTTGTATTTAATGGAAAATTTTCACCCCTTCTAGTCTCCCAGATACCTGGTCTGTATCCCCAAAGCAACCAATGTAATTTTCTTGTGTATCTTTCCAGAGCTATTCTATGCATGTACAAGAAAGTAGGTACATGTATTTGTTTGTTTGCTTGTTTTTTACACAAATGGTAGCTATAAACACACACTATACACACTGCTTGCCTTTTTCGCTTAACAATACATCTTGCAGATTATCCCATATCAGCACATAAAGAGCTTCCTCATTCTTTTATTTAACAGCTGTTGTGGATACACTGAAATTTATTTCACCAGTCCCCTCTTGATGGACACTTATGCTGTTTCCAATCTTTTTCTACAACGAACAATGCTACAGTGAATAACCTCATACATATATCATTTTGTGCTTGTGTGAGTGTATCTGCAGGATAATTTTCAGGAAGTGGAAAAGCTGGGTCAAAGAGCATGTGCGTTTGGAATCAGGATAGATAATGCCGAAATGTACCAGATTACACTCACGAAGAGCCGCCTAGGAGAGAGCCCGTTCCCCTCCCCCTCACCAACCCTGTGGGTTCATTGATGACTTTAAAGCAGGAAAGTGACATGTTCAGGTTTTCATTTTAACAAGATCCCTCGGGCTGCCCCTGTATAGCATGGCTCAGAAGCAAGCACTGAATTCAGGGACACCCAGGAGCCTGGGGTGCCAGCAGAGAGCCCCGAAGGACAAAAGTCAAAGCCTGCACCCTTTCTTGGTGCCCACCAGACTCCTTAACTTGCTTCATCTTGTTGGAGGCCAGAGATGATACGGGATTGCTAGGGAAGATTCATTGAGATGCTGAGGAGGGAGAATGAAGGGTGACAGTGAGATCCTGCAAAGGGCAAACCTTGAAGACCTGGGTGAATGTACAGGACTAAATTAAGGAAGGGATCTGGGGTTTCCTAACGTCAGAACCTGGGATGGAAAGGGGCACCATCTACAAAAACAGAAGGATGAGGTTGGCTTAAGAAAACTGTCGAGCGGCAGAGAAATTACTGAGTATTCTTCAGGATCTGGTGCAGAGCTATTTAATTTGATTTTAACTCTGTTGGCTTTTAGATGAGAGGAGGGAAGAATCGTCTAGAATGGGCCATCTGAAATATGGGTGTAAAACTCCAAGAATGCTTGGGACTCTAAGCTTTGACTTCCCCGTGTGCACAAGAGAGATAATAATACTCATCTCATGTGATTGCTGGGAGGGTCCAGTAGGAGAATTCATTCATTCATTCACCAACTCTTTATTGAATGCCTGTACATGCCCTGCTGTCTCCAGGCCCTAGGAATGCAGCAACAGACAAACCCAAGACCCTACCCTCACAGAGCTTTTAGGTAGGAAGTACATAAACACATAGGTAGGAAGACCTTTTAGGTAGGAAGCACATAAACATGTAACATAATATTGAGTAGCAGTGAGTGCTTGGAAGACACCTAAGCAGGATGAGACAGTAGACTGAGATGAAGGAATCAGGACAGACCTTTTTGGGGAGGTGACATTGGGGCTGAACCCTGAATGAAAGTGAGGGGGTCGGCCACCCAGTATCTAGGACAGAAGATGCAGGCCAGGGAACAGTGAGGGTGTGATGGGCTCAGGGCAATCCCTGGGGATGATGGTGCCTTCAGCCTGAGAGTTCATCAGCTTTAAGGTGGGGAGGAAAAGACAAGACAGAGAAATAAGGGCAGGGCCAGGACCGAGTCTGGGAGGTGACAGGGGTGGGCAGATGAAGCATCAGACTCCAAGAGAGTGAGGAGGATGGCCAGGTTCTAAGAAAGAGCATCCCCCGCTGCAGAGAGTTGGGAGGAAGGTGGCAAGTAGGAGGCCGTGGAGCCTGGGAGGGCAGAAACTGTTCCCAAGAAGCTCGAAAGTGGGCACCGGGCAAGTCAAGCGGAGAAACACAAACGGGGTCCTTGTTTTCAGGATCCTTCAACTTCCACAGCCTGAAAGGGTCTTTGTGGAGGTGTTGCCCAGGAAGGACTTGATGTTTCCTCCCCGAGCCTTCGGCCCCACGGTAGGAGCCGCCCCAGTGCCATTTCCAGCCCCAGCTCCATTTCCCCAGCCAGGAATATGCCGCTGATGCAGGTCTATATTTAGCAGCTGCTGAGGTACAGTCTGTTCTGGCTGTGCAGATAGCAGGGAGCAGAGCCGGAACCGGGCCTGAGAGGAAGGTGTGAGAAGGGAGGAGGCAGGGCGCCACGAGCCTGTGCCAGAGGAGGAATTAGCGTGTGTATTTTAAAGGCCAGGCCTGCCAGCAGACCCCCCGCTGGGAAAACAGGGATGGCATTTGCGGGGCTAATGAGGCGTCCCTTGGGCTCCTGGGCCCCTTCTGCAGCATTTGGAGGGGACGGCAGGAGTGGGGAGGACAACAGCTGGAACTGGGGGCGTTGGGTGAGGACAAGGCTGTGGGGAGCCAGGGCCAGGTTCTCATTGCCAGCCCCGCCCAGCCACCATCCCAGCAAGAACAGAAAGCCTCTGGCTCTCAGAGACTTCAAGATCTCTGCTGAACATTCTCAGCTGAGCCAGAATCATTGGCTTCCCGAAGAGGGAATGAAACTCACCCTTGTAAGTGCCAGATCCCGGGGGTCAGGATGATGCACTGGATCTGGTTTCTGCCTTCATGGGCTTTTGTTTCACCAGAGAAGCCAGACAGACAACTATTCAGGCTGGGAGAGGCAGGCAGAGGGTCTATGGTTGTAGGTCCATAAGTCAGAACGTTTATTGAACACCTACTATGTGTTGGATTGTATAGATAAGATGATGAGCAAGACAATGTGGATCTTGGCCCTTGTGGAACTGATTTATGGGGTCCACAACCCAGGACTTTAGGAGAGGGAATCCTCAAGGCATCTCCAAAATGTGGGACCTGCTACTGAAGCTTTGCCTCATTTAACCCACGTAAGAGCCCTTTCCACTGAGTAGTCCCATTTTACAGAATCGGAAACTGACGCTCAGAGAGAGTTAAGAACTTGCCCAAGGTCAGGTAACATATAAGCGGTGGAAAGAGGGCTTGAACCCATATCTATCTGACTCTAAAGTCCCTCATTTTTGTGCTACTTCTTATCTGACTCTGTGTAGCCCTGGCACATGATAGCCCCTCAGTAAGGCCCTGATAAGTGAGTCAGTGAATGAATTTTCAGAGTCAGATGTTTGCTTTTTAAAAAATAACTTTATT